ATCTGGCCGAGATACGGACGCGCTGGCGGCAGGAAACTTCACTTTGTGTGCCTGTGCCTCGTATAAGTTATATAAAGCTTGCAGGACAACTTGGTTGAAATTGCCTTTTCAGCGTGAGAAATACATGGTGTGGCGTGTGAGCGTGTGAACTGGTTGAATTGCGTGTGTCTCACGGCCAATGCGTGAGACTTGAGAACCCTGATGTAAAGTTGCGATTTTCTAGGCTGATATGGCTAGGAACTATACTCTCATTCCTGCGTAATAATCAAGAAACTTTACTGCCGTACCATGAGAGCAGCAGGCGCAGGCACTTAGTCCCGGTCACTTTGGAAGTTACCGAGCTGGGGACTATTTTCAGGCGCTGCGTCATATCATTACGCCTGCTGCACTCATGGTACGGCAGTAAAGTTTCTAAAAGTTTTAAATAGGAAAAATATCGAAACACTTTGGTCATTTTCTTTTTGAGAAATGCTAATGGTCTTGTCCACTTCAATGATGTATGCTAAGCTATGCTAAAAGTGGTACTGCCAGAACCGGAGATCGGCTGAATGGATTCAAAAACGGTAAAACTCAACAGTTTAACTCTGGGGGAGTTGTAAAATAAGCCTATTTCCTAAAAAAAAAGTGGAGTATCCCTTTAAGATTGATGGATATGTCGGGCCGATAACGATAACATTAAACATGAACATATATCTGCCGATATTTTGTGCATCCCTAGCTTTTTTTTTCTTTCTTTCATTCTGGCAACCCAACAGACTTCCTGAAAACAGTGTTGTCATGGTGACAGAGAGTGAGAGAGAACCTCCACGTAATGCTGCTAGAACCCGCAACATGAAACCTGAACTACCTAAAATAGGAACCAACCCAGACAGCCCTCTCAAACACAATGGTGAGGAAGTGATGTGCAGCAGTTCCTCTGTCTCACTGCTGCATGTGTGAATGACATCATACCAGTGTTCCTGAACATCCTAATGTTACTACGGTTGTTCAAGACAACATCACATGGTTTTAAATGATTAAATTGAAAGAAGTCTCTTATGCTCACCAAGGCTGCATTTATTTGATAAAAAATACAGTGAAAACAGTAATATTGTGAACTATCATTACAATTTAAAAGAACTGTTTTCTATTTTAAGATACTTTAAAATGTAATTTATTCCTGTGATGCAAAGCTGAATTTTCTGCAGCCATTACTCCAGTCTTCAGTGTCACATCACATGTATACGTGTGTGTGTGTGTTATGTGTAACGCTCCACATCAGTTCCGTTAATCGGTTTCTTTTTACACAAACGCAGGCACGTGTTTAGTCAGACCGAGGCGTAAGTGTCCAGAGCGACGTCTGCATTGGGAGTCAGGCTCTGATTCGAGTAGTTCATCAGGCAGTGTAAGAGCCAGCCGAGGATCCTGGGGCAGCTGGAGCAGTGCCAGCAGCATAGAGGGAGAAAGAGACCCCAACAGACATCCCTGCAGGAGTAAGAGATCACACATGCACTTACTACACACTTTTGTACTATAGGTGCGTTCATGCCATGTTTAAATTACCAACATTTCGAGATTTCAACTTATATAAAGTGTTCATGTCCTCGTAGAGCTCGTAATTACAGCATGTAAACTGGGAATTTTCTGAGAGCTCCTACTTGTACCACCTGACCACTGCATATTCACTTAGGCATTGATAGTGTAATAGAAACAGACAATTCACACTCCGAGGACGTGAACAGAGGACATTTTGTCATCTCGAGCCTTATGACATGGCGTGAGTGAAGAGAAGAGAAATTATTATGAATAACATTTTAATCAAAATTGCTGTTTGGTCTTTGTTTTTTTAGGAGACAACATCCAGTACCACCCATATCCAAAAGATCGGGAATGTTACCTGAACATGAACTATACATACAAAACACAAAGGTAAAATGAGTGACTAAATTAAAAAAAAAAATGTAACTCAAGTGATTAAGAGTAATCTAGATGTGATTGACTATATATTTACACATTTGTCCTCAGCATGAACAATCTATATGTCAGGGAACCATGCCAAAGCCCAGAAGTCTGTCCTGACCCTGTACTCCCTCAGTGCTTCGCTGATGTAGCTGCAGGTGTGGACAAAAACATTGGTGAGGGACATTCACACATTATATTTACAGAGAGGATCGTAACGGTTAAGATGTGCCATCTTGCGTTTTATTTATGCGATTATGCATTTTGGTTTCCACAGATGTAATTGGCTCTAATGTGATTCAAGAGACATGGTCAGCCGCCTCCGTTCCCCTGACCAATGGATTCAGGTACAACATGACCGAATCTCTTCCGTTTGTCCCTCAGAGTCCCCCATCCGGATATAACGGGTATGTCTCAGGCTTTTAGTTCTTTTGTATTTTATTTTTGACTTCATTTGAGTCCATCCACTGACAAATTCAAATGCTTATGTGTCAATATTATGCAGCTTCCCGTGGAACAACATGAACAGCCAATGTACCAGTCAGTATCCCTATAGTGATCAGGCCAACTACATGCCAACAGGTGAGGGCTTTTCTCTCACTATGAGAAATGTCTCACTGTAGTACATAGTTACCGAAGGATGAGTGACCATTTTCTTTGTTTTGTCCGTGAAGGTAACGGCAATTACCAAAATGCATTCTCGTGCCCTGAAAGCCAAACCATGACCCAGAGCCATCAGCCAGTCTGGGGAGAGAATGGAGCCCATGACATGAACTCCACATGGGACACTGGCAGTTGTGTGGGGAGCAAGGTGAGATTTACACAAGTGTTTGTTCTTGTCAAGCACTTTGAAAAAAATGTGTTCGTCAGTAATGTTGTCACAATACTGAAATACTAACTTCGATACAATACTTTGAAAAATATCGATATTTGAGGCAGGAAACCCCAGGTGAATAGGGGATTTTTTTTTTTTTTTACTGATATTCCCTTACTTCCCCAGTTGATTGATTACATTTCTGAAATGTTATGTTTAAATATGTAAATGAGACCGTAACTAATTAAATATGTACTAATTTGCATACCTTTCAGTTTGGACATTCTTATTCTGAGCACCTTAGAAACACCCTTTTTGCACACGTTCCCTGTTAAAAGTGTGTGGTGTGTCCTCATTGAGAAGCAGATTCTTTGTTAAACATGGAATATTAAAGCAATGCTCAAAAACTGACAATTTTTCCCTTATCTATCTTTTCCAGCCATACTTTTCAGGAACCAGAAGTCTGTCACCCATGTCCAGTCTATTTGGCTCTATCTGGACACCTCAAAGTGAACCTTACCAGAACCACTTCCACCCAGAGCGCTCCGCTCCCGTCTCGCCCCACTCGCCCATCTCACCCGTCGCACCCTTCAGCCGTGAACCAGGCGGCGCCTGCCCGGCAAAACAGTACTCCAGCTTCAATCCTTTTGGACCACACATGAATTTGGACATATGGAACTCCTCTTCAAACCGGAGCTCCAACTCTCAGCTCTCCAACGATTCAGGCTACTGTGGGGAAATGTGAGGAAACTGTGCTTTTGAATAATGAGGAAAAAAAAGAATGTGCTTTTATCTCTAATGGGGGAAAATGTGAATATTCTTCTTTCTTTTATGTTTGTTGTTGTGGTAAGGTTCAGCATTTTGTTGTATATTTTTCTAGATGTTTTGCAAGTTTGACCATTGAAAATAAAAAAAAAAGTTTCGTATTTGACTCTGTGTTGTGAATTACTTTTAGGTTTAATTTTGTCAGTTGCTCAAATACTCTAACATGCTACTCAGATCACGACAACGAGGAGTTTCAAATTTTGCGGACATTGAACAAAATAAAATATTTCTTATTTCCTATTTAAATTAATTTGATCTAGAATAGATAATGGTGACTTTAGCTATTTTATTCATTATAATCAACCTGAGATCCACTCGCTTCAAAAATGGATACTGCAAAAAAATAATTGAAATGACATCAGGGAAATTTCAAGCAAAAAAAAATTTAACATTTGTGAGAATATAATATGCTTTCCCTAAAATGGATAAAATATATTTTTCTAAAGAAAGCTGTTAGAATTTTTTTTATCAATGGACAGGAAATTTACCCTAAACTAGGAGGACTCGGGAGATGTTCTTGGCTGGAAAGTAATGCTCATAAAGAACTGCAAGTGGAGTCCTGATCAACTCCGTAAGAACAGAGTGAAGTTGCTTTTTTTTTTGGTCGTGAAGCGGCAAAGGGTTTATGATGGTCCACTTTAATGGTAAATGGACTGCATTTATATAGCGCTTTCACAGACCCAATGGCCACCAAAGCGCTTTACATTTGCCTCACATTCACCCATTCACTCACTCATTCATACACCGACGGGCGACGGCAGCCATGCAAGGCGCCATCCAGCTCGTCGGGAGCAGCTGGGGTTAGGTGTCTTGCTCATGGACACCTCGACACTTGGTCAGGTGGAACCGAGGATTGAACCACCAACCTTCCGGTTTGTAGACAACCCACATGAACCACTGCCGCACTTTAGACATTCTAGTAATTATAAGTAACTTTGCAACTACATGTCTGCTAACTCTCATTAGAGTATTAGTAGACCGCCTGCTTATTATCTAAGCTAACACTGTATTTTGATGCTCCCCCAAAAGACATTCTATTAATTACAATTAACTTTGCAACTGTCAACTTATTCTAACCCTAACAGTCTACTAATACTCATCTAGTACTCTAATGAGAGTTATATTAGTTGACATGTAGTTTCAAAGTTACAAAGTGGAGCATCGAAAAACAATGTAACCTTAATGTCTGCTGTTTCCAACTGAGGTTCTAGATAGCTTTCATAGTTTTATAAGGACACTTAATTTTTCTGTGTTGTACATTTTCATCTACATCTACTATTAATGAATAGAATATATTCGGAACAGTTCAAATAATGCAATGTGCTGTACAAATATAACGATATAACACTGGTCACATGAATGTGGAGCTAAAACAAATTTGAAAGCATGTTTTATGCCACAAACGTTAATACAGCAAAGGAGGAAGGATTCAAGCTTTATTGCTACAAAAATCAGGTTTGCGGGTGTAAAGGGGAAAGAAATACATTTTGGAATGTATGCAATATTGTGTATATTTTTGTGCAAACAAGCAGCACTAGTTCCACGTTTATGACAACGGGACTGTACAGGAGAACAGACATACGGTGAGACGAGGAAGATTTACTTTCTGCATTTGGCATTAGTACACTTGAAAAGAACACAGGGCACTTTTTCAGTTTAAGCATTATGAGTATGAACAACACAAAATAACCACTCACAACAACATATGATCATCACTAACTAATGCATGTCTTCTGATAAACGTTAAACCAGGGGCCCTTTAATATTAGCACTATACGTGTTTTTTGTGGTGCTAATTCACAAAGTGCATAGGGTGAATTATGCATTTGATACATCACTGAGTTTTTTCTGGGCAATTCTCTGAATTGAGAAATTAATTAGCATCTTTTTAATTCAGTGCAGTGATATTAAAAAGGTAGTTTTTTTGTCTATCTTAACAGCATATCAAGTGATTTGTTTCTTGCATATTATGGGTTAAAGTGATTACAGAGATGTACAGTAATTGCATTATACAAACATTGTACCAACCACAGTTGTGCACATCACAGTCATAATCAGAGAAGCACATATATTGTGGTATAAGTTATAAATATTCCTGACATCACTTTTAAACATAACTCTGGCCATGTATTGGTGATACTGGCCCACCATAGTGAGATTATTTTGTCTGTTTGATGTGTAGATAGATATATAAAATTTAATAGCAGTTTGGAAACGCATTACTTACATTCTTATACATGCCAGTACTTTGAAGAGTTCCCTTTTTAATCAGCTGAGTGCTGAAATAAGAATATTCAGATTCACACAGTAGAAACATAAACGCTTCCCCTAATGTCTAGCAGTTCTTGAGTCAAAGGTGAAGAACAGCATAACCTAAATCTATTGTTTCATTCTTAAAGGGACCGTTTCAATCAAAAATTACATTTCTGTCATCATTTACTCATCCTCGTACTGTTACAAATTATCGTGACATTCTTCCATGGAGCACAAAAGGTTTTTTAAGTATTGTGAACAGTCTCTTTCATTTAATGAAAGTGGAAAAACAATTGAAAAAGTAGTCCATACAACTCATGCGTCATGACAGATTTGCATACAAATTAAAGGCAATTAAAAAAGTTAAAATTGAACACATATTGTTTATCATCCTCTTCACTGAAACTGAAATCAATTACGAAAATGATGCGTCAATGCCAACATCATTTACGCAATTTATTTGATTTGAGAGTTACAGGGATGATTTTCAACGAATAACAAATTTCGTTCTGTTCCTCACAGCCTCTTTGTATGGCTTGGAATATATGGTTGCAATTAACTTTTAATAATACGGACCAGAATCGCCTATATTCTTTAAAAATGTGCCTTTTATATTCCATGGAAAAAAATAAATTAATATGGATTTTGAACAACATGAGGTAAAAAAATAAAATAAAAGACAGAATTCATATTTTTGTGTGAATTATTCCTTTGAATTGCAAAATCAATGTTTTTAGGTTTGCAAACCTCTATGATCAGGGTACAGACTCCCATTTCCTTCAGTTTGTTCTTCTCTCCAAGGTGAGGGTGTCACGAGGCTACAATGACAACTTCAATGCAATATGAGGGTCCCATTTGGCACGAGGGCGGCAGCTTTAAGGAATAAGTGCTATTGTAGATAACGGTATACTTTAAAACAGTGGTTCCCAGAGTCTGCCACCACAACGTGGCCATCAGAGGTGAGAGCCAGGCCTTGTGGGCCATACAGAGGGTCTGCGGAGGTGTTGATGTAGGACAAGAAGGATCCACTGCTGTCAAACACCTGGAGTCCCACAGATGGATGATATAAAGATGTTAAATCTAAAAAAATGTCCCAGACATGACTAAAATATTTGTGTACTGCTAGTCATCACACCGTTCAACAGATTTAATTAATCTCATACGTTAATGTGTTTATCACATTTGTTGGTGAAATATTCAGTTGATCTAAGCCTGTGTTACCTGTATCCGGCTGTTGCCCCAGTCGGCCACTATAATATTGCCATTGGCATCTACCGCCACACCTGTCGGTGCATTAAACTGCCCATTTCCTTCGCCATTAGAACCAAACTTCAGTAGAAACTCCCCCTCTGGACTGAACACCTGCAATTTGATGGCACAATCTGCATTAACACATCAATGTTTAAAAAGACTGAGGTTTTAAATGACTTTGAACAGGTATGAGTGAACTTGTTTTCAAAAAGTAACCACAATGGTGGCTAGCAAGACAGCACATTTTAGGAATATGACTATTATTATGACTACAGGAAATTTTTACCTTTACAGAATGATTATGAAAATCAGTCACAATGATTTCATTATTTGGATTCACTGCAGCAAAGTGGGGACCTATGAAAATGAAAGAAGAAGAGTTGCACATTCAACTTATGCTAAACTAAAGCCCTCTCATTCCACTAGTCTACTCAATAATAGTCACTGTTGTTTTTGATAAAATCTCTCCTGGTCTTTTTTTGTCATTAAGTGTCCCATAAAAGTGCTTGGTTACACAATCAACATAGCATTTGTGATATGTGGCTTTTCCTTTTGGTTGAAAAATTAGCTAGTGAAAACTCTGTTTTAGATACTGTATGAGCTGAAGGCTGAAACAATTTGAGCAAGCACAAGGTCGTTAGATTAATGCCGGCTTCATGTGCTATCTGAATTTATCGAATTCTATCTTCTAAAGTTGTAAGTATGACTGTGTTGGGGATAGTTCACCCCAAAAATGAAAATCCTGTCATTAATTACTCACCCTAATGTCGTTCCAAACCCGTAAGACTTTCGTTTATCTTTGGAACACAAATGAAGATCTTTTTGATGAAATCTGAGAGCTTTCTGTCCCTCCGTTGACAGCTATGCAACTACCTTGACGCCTCAAAAAGTTCATAAAGAGATCGTAAAACGAATCCAAATTAATTGAGTGGCTTAATCCAAAATGTTCTGAAGAGACATGCTTGCTTTATATGATGAACAGATTGAATTTAGGCTTTTATTCACATAAACATTCATCAACTCACACATCAGTTGTGGTAAACGGAAGCTCAAGCATGTTTGCTTGACGTGTGAGAACCAATGAGGTTCATTCTCGTGTGTTATGAGAGCAAGAGGTTTGTTCTCACGCGTCAAGCAGGTTCGGTTGAGCTTCTGTTTATGTTCGCTGATCAATGTTTAAATGTGAATAAAAGCCTAAATTAAATGTGTTCATCATATGAAGTGATCTCTTCAACTCAATTCATATGGATTAGTTTTACGATCTCTTTATGAACTTTTTGAAGCGTCAAAGTGGTAGTTGCATAGCTGTCAACGGAGGGACAGAAAGCTCTCAGATTTCATCAAAAAGATCTTCATTTGTGTTCCAAAGATGAACGACATGAGGGTGAGTAATTAATGACAGAATTTTCATTTTTGGGTGAACTATCTCTTTAAAGTGCTGTTTTGTCAGAAAGAATAGAAATCATGGAAGATGCCAGGTTTATTCTTGCCTATTTCTTAGGGAAATCTTATTAAAGCTAAAATGTATAGCGAATTTTGAAAAAAATGTAGCATCCAATTTGTTGGCAACCACATAAACATTACCTGCGCTATTGTATACATTCACCGTCTAGAATCTGGGATTTCTTTCAAATAAATGCTGTTTTCGCTGTGTAAAATACATACACTATGCATCAAATGGCTTTTTATACACATAATTGTAAAAGTTATATACTGTATATGTTATGGGAAAAACAAATGAAACTTAACAGTCACTCACTACAGCAATGGTTCTTACTCGGCCATGTTTAAATTTATGTCCTGCCCAATTCGGAAACTTGGGTATCAAAATTAGTTTTGCGAAGCCATTCATGCTCAATTTCTTACTAGGAAACTTCTATTCAAAATAATTCGGATAGCATGTGAAGACTGAATAAGTGCCCGTATGTAACCAAGGTAAGTACCTGCAAATTGCTTGTCACTGTTGCCTCGGTTTCCAAACTTGGAAACAAGTTTTCCATTGGGCTGAAAAATGAAGACGCAACAAGATTTGTTGTCAACCACAATGATGTGGCCATTTCTATCAACCGATACACCCTTAGGACCCATGAGCTTCCCTGAGCCAATTTTAGTCTGAAAAAAGACACAGAGGACACAAGAGTGAAAAAAGACACAGAGGACACAACAGAGAAAAAAAGTGTTAAAATTCAACCTGAAAGAATTTTCCTTTAAGTGTATTTATAAAAAACATGCCAATAGCAAAGATTTCTTATACTAACAAGTATTTGGTAAAAATCTATTCTTAAAAGTTAAAATTTTCTTTAATAAAACTAATAATAAAAAGCAGATGCAGATACCTTAAACTTGCCATCACTGGAGAAAATGCTGACCCATTTGTTATCATAGTCAGCAATGATGATGTCACCATTGGGGTGCACAGCGACACCAGTTGGACGTTGAAGTTGTCCTGGTGATCGGCCCCTCACTCCAAAGCGACTCTTAAATTGTCCATCATTTGAAAATATCTACAAATGAAACAATTTACATACATCTTAAATGAAGCACTTGTTTTCTTACTGGTTTCATTTAAATGAAAAGGGCATTAAGCAACCCACAGAACGATGATAAAAATAAAAAGAGTAGATTTAAACTGTGATTAGACAGGTGATGTGTAGAACTGTATACCTGAACACACTGATTGTTACTGTCTGCTATCAGGACCTTGCCAACAGAAGAAGCAGCAACTCCCTGCAGATTGGTGAACTCACCCTTATTTCTGCCTTTAGTTCCTATGGAACAAAAATAAAAGATGGATGGATGGACATTTTTCATTCAGGATAATATAAATGCTGGGTTATTGTATTTTTGTGGACATTCATTCAAAACTGAAGGTTCTTTTTTTTTTTTATTGTTCAGTATCTGCCAATATAGGATATTTAATTGTTTATTAAGAGTATAGATTTAATATATCTACCAATATTGGACACACACTAATCATTAGATCCACAAAACACCTGGAAATTTAAAAGCTGTTGCACTTTAACAAATATATACTTTTCTCAGCAAAAGTAATATGTACAAATATTTGAACTGATAAAAAAGTATTCAATTCATTTTCAAAAGTTCATTTCTTAAGCCATCTGTTAGTGCTTATCATACCGATTCGGAACATGAGGTCATCTTCAATTGGGTTTTCTTTCCGTTTGCCGGTGCTGTACATGCTGGCAGGGCGCTTGATGGCACGCTGTTTCACATGGCTACTTCCTGGAGATTTGAGGCGTTTCTTGCCTCCGTCTGCAGTCAGGGAGATCTCTGTCATTTTGTTGGCACGTATGCTGAATGGGCTGCCTTTAATATGCTGATCATAGAGCTTCAGCGAGAGCGTGAAGCGGCCCTCACACGGGGCCGTGTATACAAACTCATAAGTGCCATTTTTATGATCTGTGACTTCACCTTCCCCCACTGTGGTGCCATCAGAGGCAGAAAGATCAGCTATGAGCAGAGCATTTCCTGTCCGGCACAGTCCGCCGTCTCTGTCTTTTGTTGTTATCGTCACAGAGGTTGGCTGTCCCACAATGCAGTGCCTCAGGCCTTCACCGGTGGCAACAGTTTCTGCGGCTATAGCATTGGTGGTTACTATAGCACCTAGGTTGTGGATGGATTTGCGAAGACCGTCGGTCTCCACCAAGAAGTCCAGCTGGTTGTTCTCCTCTGGCCAAAGAGGGAGCTCCTGATTGGCCAGCTCGTCAAGACGCTCGCTCATCTGCTTCTTGACCAATAGGACCTCAGCTTCCGAGCCGTGATTAAGAGCCTGCTCGGTGAAACTGCAGCTGCTGCATATGCCCTCCTGCCCCTGCAGCAACGACTCCAGCTGGGCTTGCAACACCTGCAATGACATTCAAATTATATTTCAGTCATGACAACTCTCAGAGTGGATACATTTCAGCCAGCATTTATTGGCATGGGCATTAAATATACATAGACTTGATTTTGGCGGACGAGATCTGCTATGCTGCTGCTTCTGAGCAAATACAATCATTTGTTCAGCTTAGTCAAAAATAACCAACCAAGAAAAGGCTGCTGCAAGAAATGGTAGAACCCCAGTAGCATATCTCTACAGTTGGTGCTGGGGAGGAGGAGGGATAACAGAAGTATTCATAATGCGCAGCGTGCCGATCGCAGGTTAGGGTACAATAATATGGTTACGTGATTTGGACGTACTTCTGATTGGCTAGTGCCGCGGCATTGAAAGAACCAATCGGTGTTCGGGCGTACAATAACACTAATTTAATGGCCTAACGCTACAAATAAGTGTTTCTGAATCCAATTGAGCCTGAAAGGGTTGTTCACAATGGCATAAATATTTAGATCTGCAACCACACAGACATAACAGCACAAACAGATGATGATACACATAAACTGCATATACAGTAGGGTCCAAAAGTCTGTGTTTTTAGATTTATAAAGATTTAGAAAATGTAAAGACTAAGAGGAAATATTTAATATTTTGCATTGTTTCTAGATCACCAATCAAATGCAATAATAGTGTGATCATCTCAACTCATTTGAACAGAAGACCGGATGTTTTTACTTCCATTAAAGCACAAGATGCTCTCTGGAACATTTGCTAAAAACCACTAAAACCATTTTAAACTGCTAAAAACCAAACCATTTTCACTTGTGGAGCCCAGTGTCTGTGTAAACAAACAAATGCTAGCAGTTAATCGGTGCTAAAAGCATGTACTGGACAACATAAAAGTCACCTCTAAATGAACATCAATTCCTGACATGTACAAGTGCTAATCATTTACTGAATCTGGTACATATAAAGCCATTCTGTCATAGAAAAAAGGTCTGATGAATCAGCCAGCATAGCATGACAAGGACCAAATGTACTCAACAGTGACAGATCCATGCTTTGATAAAGCCACCCTGTTCAGTCAGAGTGTCCAGTCATTTCAAATACAACATCATGAAAGGATATCAAATGAGGAAAAACTTGACAACGTTTGATCCTAAAACTAAACTAAACTCCACAAAAAACTGAATTCAGAATCCTACCTCACCTCAACTTGTTTATCACAGTCCTCTTCCATTACAATGCCCCAAACTATCTGTGCCTGCTAGCGACTAGCTGTGCTGCCTTTGTTTACTTTGTGTTTAACGGTTGACTTTGTAGTTGGTCTGGTTCTTCCAGATGAATCATTCCCATGTGACGCACTGCCAGCTGCCAGGACTGATGTCAGACCCACACAGAAGCATGTGCTACAGAGTTGTTCATTTGTTGAATCATTTATTTGACATTGGTCCATGGCGATTATGTAATAGATACAGTAGGTGCGATCTGTGGCTCTGCCTTCTTTGACGTGGAAATCTTCTCCCATTAATTTCTTCTTTTTAGTCAGTTGAGGTCAGACACGAGTATAACATGAACACACTGGAGAGCTGCTTTAGAAATTAAAGTTGGGATTCTAACTCAAAGTGACACTGACACGTTTCTTTTTTCATGGTTAATACTGTAGAGCTGCTTGCTTTAAAGCGCTCTATTGTATAAAGTGGTATATAAATAAATGTGAAATGACTTCACTGGAGTGCTGAATTGTAAAGCTGGTGCAAACATACTGTATACTCTACAATACTATGATCAGATGTCTTTACTGTTTTCTCACTGCTGACATTTTTGTTGTGTTTATTTTGTTATTGAGAGGAAAGTGTGCATATTTATCTTAACGCCGCATGGGGATGTTTGCTAACAGTATAGCGCTGCTCAGGTATTTCAAACTTCTTTTTACCTCTAAGCGAAGAACGGAAAGAACTTTGCCATAAGTATATCGGGCCTTTAAGGCTATTTTAACAAAAACTTAAAATAATACAAAAGATTTGATGGTAAGAACACGCTAAACAGCTAATTACTTACTAATGATAACATTTTAAAAACGATAGCCTCTAGATAAGTGTACTAGCCTTCTGTTTGAGTCCGTAGTTGACCTCCAGCTCCATCAGCAGAACACTCTTCCGGACATTAAGGGTCTTCTGAAGTTCCTCAAAAGTAGCATGAATCACTTCTTCTATTGAACTCTTCTGATTGCTCAGCTGCTGCAAAATCTCAGACAGAACCTCCAGCGCAGAGTCAATTTCTGGCAGCCTAAGGAAAAGAAGAACAAGTTACTCATTTTATGTTACTTTTACTACAATTATTTATACACTACTAGTCAAATGTTTGGACAAATCTACTCGTTCTTTGTTTGTTTTTTTATTACTATTAATTTTCACATTTTAGAATTATAGTAAAGTCGTTAAACCTATTTTTTTTTGGTTTTTTTTTGTTTCCATCACTGTGTATGTTAAAGCAGTGGTTTTCAATCCTGATCCTGGGGACCCACCGCTCTGCACATATTGTATGTCTCCCTTATTTAACACCTATACATACATTTAATGTTTTTAAAATAAGTCTCTTATGCACACAAAGACTGCATTTATTGATTAAAAATACAACAACAACAAAAACAGTAATATTGTGAAATATTACTACAATTTAAAATAACTGGTTTCTATTTGAATATATTATAAAATGTAATTTATTCCTGTGATCTCAAAGCTGAATTTTCAGCATTAATACTCCAGTCTTCAGTGTCACATGATCCTTCAGAATCAATCTAATCTGATTTGGTGCTCAAGAATCATTTAGTATTATTATCAATGTTGAAAACTGTAGAAAAAAAAATAAAAAAAAAATTCTGTAACATTATACACTACCATTCAAAAGTTTGGGGTCAGTAAGATGTTTCTTTGTGGAAAGAAATTAATACTTTTATTCAGCAAGGATGCATTAAATTGGTCAAAAGTGACAGTAAAGACATTTATAATGTTACAAAAGATTCTATTTCAAATAAATGCTGTTCTTTTGAACTTTCTATTCATCAAATAATCTTGAAAAAAAATTGTACACAACTGTGTAGCAGTGTATATACACATAATGTACTTTATATAATCTAATAAAACAGGCCTCTCTGGATGACATATTTGGTGTAATGGGTGAAATTCACAGTACATTTCAGGTGTTACTGTGTATTAATTTGCTTATCTTCATACTGAGTAAAGACCTTTTACTTAAACAGAAAACAATGTGACAAAAAATTCTGTAGCATTGTGTACGTAAGCGTATGTTACATGCCTGTTTTTGACGGCGTCCAGCTGCTCCTGTAGCGAGGCTTTGTGCTGTTCTAAAACATCCTTAAGCGGGACGGTGGCGTGTTCTGCGTGTTCGCCGCTTGTACACTCCTCACACATGGCTGTCTCGCATGGTGGACAGTAGAACTCCATTACCTGATGAAAAGAGAGGGAGAAGCATCCCTGCTGGTGACAAGCCAAAGACAACTTTTCACATTATGTTTACTCCCTTTGCAAAAACCTTAAGGAATTTCACATACAAAAATGAACAGAATGCAACTTGCCTGGAGGAAAATACTTCTAACATATCATACAGTCAGGCTTCTGTACACTAAAGATCTAGTTATCCTGTACTGCTGTGCAAGTCTTACGTTTCCTCCATGATTGGGACAGGAGAGTGGTTGTCCAGTGGCCACTCCATTGATAGCGTCTGTGCAGTCCTCACTGAGGTTAATGTCTGGGCTCCTCTTTAGCACCTCCATCAGGTTGGTGATGAAGAAATTACTCTGAAGTGCCGCCACACCTTTCTCCGGCAGGATGGAGGTCTGACGGCACACGGGGCAAGACAGAGTCAGACTGTGGGCGGGAATGTAGTTCTGCAGACACCTGGAGCAATATGAACAGATTATTGAAATGACAACCTATGTGGTAGTAACTGGCTCTCACCAGAAAGACATATTCATATTGTTTTTTTTAGATAAAACTAATCATTGGGCATATTGTGGGCACCCTGTATAGATTCATGTGTAGTGCTATTCTGGAATAAAACGGCAAACACCTGGTTAACACCCATGTTTCCTGTGAAATATAAGGGAAGTATATAACATTGATGCTGTGTACCTTTCCCTTCCCTTTCCCTGTTGTGTGTTGCTTCACGGATATGGAAATGAGCCTTTAAAGCCTTTGAGTATCGACAACAGCACCATCTGCTGGTTTGTAAATGTACAACAGCCATAAAGCCAGGAAATATAATGCATATTGTATCAATTTTAAATGTTATTAGACACAGGCCATTCTAGTTTTTAAAGCAGATGCAATTTCTTACATAAGTATATAAGCTTTTGTAAGAATTATCACTGCTTCACTAAAACACCAAAAGCAAATGGCTTAGAAAACTTTAAAAGTACACTACACTCCTCACAGTTCAGACTCAGATTAACGTTCTGACACGGAAATCGACTGAACAGAAAATGAGGCTTTGTTTGTCATCACTCACGTGGTTATCTGAATTGTGCCGCATGCTCAATACATGCATTGGCAACCCAGTACCATACTGTATATTACATCACTAGTTGCTTCTATCATTTTTGTTAAATGCAAAAAGCTGGTATAGAAGGGACATCCTAAAATTTCTAAAATCTTTTTCTCTCAGTTTTATTACTCCTCTATGATCCTAGACGGAACTGTGTCCAGTCAAACTTTATGGCATCTGTGAATTAGTAATTGGCCAATACTAATATTTTGTTTCACACTTGTGCATGTACACATTTTGTCAGTATTTCTATTCATGTTCACACAGCATCTATTAAACATGCATCGGGTTCCCTGCACGTCTCCTTCAGACAAAAGTGTTGACGTATTTTGCAGGCGCCCACTCTCTATACTCTGCTGATGACGTCATAGACTTTGACTTTGACCACTGACTTTCATCATATGGACATTTTTTTGTGATTCTCAAAAGGCACGTGTATGAAATGCATACTGGTTTAGGACGACAAGAATGTGAGTGAATAATAACAGAATTAAATATTTTTAAGTGAAATATCCCTTTAAGTTGTACTCTGTATTACAAAGCCTTCTAATGAGTAAAATTACCTTTACAGAACTAAGAATGGGAAATATAAAATTATGTAATTTACTCTTAGCTTTGCTAACAAAACAAATAGCTGTAAAATAACCAAATTAAGCAATAATAATGGAATATCAGAAATGAAGTACCTTTCACAGAAGGTGTGGAGGCAGGGAAGGACCTTGGGATTGTTGTAGCGATCCAGACAGATACTGCAAATCAGGAACTGTTTGTTGATCTGACGCACCACAGGACTTGGGAGGGTAGAAGCTTCAGTGGCCATCCTAACACTCTATCAAAGGCCTCCCACAAGTCTTCAGCCCGGGCCCTGGGGAGAGGGTAAACGAGTTCAAATAAATAAATGAAAAAATAACAGATGACATATTTTTCCTGGAAAGGCCCACATGATGTACCCTTTTCCTTTTTCTGTGAAAACATACTGTATTAATGAACACAAATAAGGTGCTAGGTGCAGAGGATTTCACGTCACAACACTGGAATTCCAGTTCTCAAGAAATCCTAAGCTTTCACCATTATACAAGGTAGATTAGTAATTAAAGCCTGCTGTCATGACTTATTGTCAGTGGACAAAAGGATCAAATTAATAATTTAAAGGGTAAACCATGAGCCACCATGACTGACAGTGGACAGTGACCTGATCTGAGTGCAATGTCACAGCTACAGCACAATATTAAATTAAATGTTTACTGGTTAACTCTGGATATGTGGTATTGCAGCACTGCATTATAGGCTCCTTATGATCGATTGTGTTTTTTCCTTTTTTTGTGTGCTAATTTGGATTTTTTTTTTAAAGTAAAGTTTTCATATATGTTCAAAATGTAATAAGACATACTGATTCACACACAAGATTAGGGATACGCCAATTTAAAAATTCTGACCGATATGATAATAAGCTGATACATATTTCCATGTTATGGCTGATAGTATAGTAAATTCTACACTAATTTGTGTAGTAAGTAATTAGTAAATAAGTTTGTAAATAAACAAGAGAATTAATAATAATAAATCAAAAATTAAATTTAAATTAAAATTTAAAAGCTACAAGTAATTTTTGCCATTGCAACTTTAAAATGTACAGTATGAAAAATGAAGACCAATTAATTTTAGGATTTGCTAAAAAAATTATTTGTTATTAAATGTGTTAATACATTATTAAAGGAGAACTCCGGCGCAAAATGAACCTCGGGTGTAATAACACATTGGTACAGACTAAATCATTCCCTGAGATTTGTTTTCATGATAATCGAATATAAAGAGTTTTATCTCTAAAAACAGTTTAGCTTATAACGCTAGTATATTGGGCATCGAGTAAGCAAAAAGAGATCGCTAGTTAATACCATTAACAAGGCTCAAATTAGCCCCACACTAACACGGCAGCATAATGAGTGTCCTTACATGCAAACCGAAGCATTGAGAACTTTGTAAGTGTATAGACAGTTTAATAAGAAGATACTTTACACAGACAGTACAGTTAGCGCATACAGACAGGAGCCATCTTGGAAAACAGTCTCGATCAGTCAAACCACGAGGGTGAGCGAACAGTACGTGTAGATATTGAAGATAAGATAAATTATATATATTTTTTTATTTTCTCTGTTGCATTCAGTGCTTCTCTTATGCGCTCAATGCTTTCTTCCGGAAACAACGGACCATATGAGATTCCAAGTCACAGTTCAGCTCACGTATCACCGTGTTCGTGGTTTGACTGATCGAGACTGTTTTCCAAGATGGCTCCTGTCTGTATGCGCTAACTGTACTGTCTGTGTAAAGTATCTTCTTATTAAACTGTCTATACACTTACAAAGTTCTCAATGCTTCGGTTTGCATGTAAGGACACTCATTATGCTGCCGTGTTAGTGTGGGGCTAATTTGAGCCTTGTTAATGGTATTAACTAGCGATCTCTTTTTGCTTCCTCGACGCCCAATATACTAGCGTTATAAGCTAAACTGTTTTTAGAGATAAAACTCTTTACATTCGATTATCATGAAAACAAATCTCAGGGAACGATAAAGGGTGTACTCACACTAGGCACGGTTGCCATGAACCGGGCCCGAGTACGATTGTCCCCCCTCCCCACTCCCCCTCTGGCCTGCACTCACATAGGGTTTCAGCATTCGTGCCGGAGCACGCTTACGTCATTATGGTGCGTGCAACGGTTTCGGGATAAACAAGAAGAGCGGCGCTCTCTGAACACAACGGAGTCCATCGCTCTGTTTTCTTTGTGGATAATTTTGTGTCGTTTGGTCCACGGTGGTCCACAGCCCTCTCACAGCCTGTTGTTAAACAGATGCGTCGCCTTAGTGGCGCGAAAATTTTCACGTAATCGTGCTGCTCGTATGAGGAGGTTTGCAAGGTACCAGCTGAAGTGCAGCAAGGACTTTGCAGCTTTGATTACGGACTGTGTTGGTTTTGGAGCGTCGCAAAACCATGACGTCACGCGTCCTGTTCCGTGCTCCAGCACGGTTAGCGTTCACACTGCATGCGAACCGCGCCCGAGTCCAACTGAACCGTGCTCTGGCCCACCTCTTCCAAGCGGGCCAGGGCCGGCTAATCGAGCCGCGCCCGGGCACGGTTCGGAGCACTCACACTAGTCAAACGAACCGCGCTTTGGTGGTCAAACGCACTCGGGCACGGTTCAAACTGGCTAGTGTGAGTACACCCTTAGTCTGTACCAATGTGTTATTACACCCGAGGTTCATTTTGCACCGGAGTTCTCCTTTAAGTGTTAAATATTAACTTTAAGTGAACCTTACATGACAGCTGTCAGGGGTTGCGTGTGCTAAATCCGAGAAGAAAGATGCGTGACGCAGAATGAACTAATAACAAAGACTGTTAATCAACACACAGAGCAAAAGCATATATAACTAAAATTGACTGACTGAGGTGGAGCGGAAGAGCCAAAGAGCCAAGGCAACATTGAGGGTCTGGAGGGCCACGGTGGAACACAGACGCACGTGGAGAAGTGGGCTTAGCAGACCAGGGTGGGAGTGAGGACAATGGAGGAACCGGAGTGAAGGAGGAGCCCGGCGGAGCCAGAGGGGTGATGGAGATCCGGAGGTCTGAAGCAGAGCCAGAGCGACGACAGACCAAGGTGGAGCCAAAGGGAAGAGGGAGCCCTGCGAAGCCTGAGGGATGACAGACCATGGTGGAGCCGAGGAAGCATTGAGCAAAGGAGGCCCAAGGTGGAGTCCGGGGCTAGTGACGACTTGGAACTGGGCTTAACCAGCGACGGTTTGGACAACATTAGACTTATCCAGCGATGACTTAGACTTGGTGTTTGATGACAAAGACGACTTGGAACGGGCCTTAACCAGTGACAACTTAGAACTGGGCTTAGCCAGCGACGACTTGGAGCTGGGCTTACCCAGGGACGACTTGGAACTGGGCTTAACCAATGATGACTTGGAACCGTGCTTATCCAGCGATGACTTAGACGACTTGGAACTGGGCTTAACCGGCAAAGACTTGGAACTGGGCTTATCCAGTGACGACTTGGACAACATTAGACTGGGCTTATCCAGCGATGACTTAGACTTGGTGTTTGATGACAAAGACAACTTGGAACGGGGCTTAACCAGTGACGACTTAGAACTGGGCTTAGCCAGGGACGACTTGGAACTGGGCTTAACCAATGATGACTTGGAACCGTGCTTATCCAGCGATGACTTAGACGACTTGGAACTGGGCTTAACCGGCAAAGACTTGGAACTGGGCTTAACCAGTGACGACTTGGACAACATTAGACTGGGCTTATCCAGCGATGACGTAGACTTGGTGTTTGATGACAAAGACAACTTGTGACAACCAGTGACACCTTGGAACTGGGCTTAGCCAGGGACGACTTGGAGCTGGGCTTAACCAATGATGACTTGGAACTGGGCTTAACCAGCGCCGACTTGGAACCAGGCTTATCCAGCGCCGACTTGGACCCAGGCTTATACAGCGATGACTAAGACAACTTGGAACTGGGCTTAACCAGTAAAGACTTGGAACTGGGCTTATCCTGCGATGACTTAGACGACTTGGAACTGGGCTTAACTAGCGATGACTTGAAACTGGGCTTATCCAGCGATGCCGAGTAACTCCACTAAAATGCCCTCAACAATGGACGCTGATGCCAGGCAGTTAGTGGTGGCTTTTCCAAAGCGGACATGGCTGACAGCTGGCTGGGCTCTGGGTCTGGAGTGGGGCTGGTGAGGTCTTCTTTAATGGGGCAGACAGTGAAGGGTAAGTTGCACTGCGCCAGCATCCACTGGGCGAAGCTCCCTCGAAGACAATCCACAGGCAGGCATGCCTTTGACCACTCTTTAATCCCGGTTTTTATAGAAAACACAAAGCGAGTGGTCGGGATAGTGAGTGAGACACGTCAGATGGAGAAAGCCCCTTGCCTGATCCTCAACGGAGCGATTCCCCTGCCCCATCAGGATATCCATGTTACATTTTCGCAGTTTAAATCCTTTCTTCACTCTCTCGTTCTGTCAAGGGTTGCGTGAGCTAAATCCAAGAAGAGAGATGCGTGATGCAGAATGAATGAACAACAAAGCCTTTTCATCCATCGATAGCATCCACAACTAATATAACCTCAACAAGAGACAATTAACAGAGAAGAACTGAGGGCTTAAATACATGAAGGATAATCATCAACAGAACAGGGACAGGTGTGGACTAATCAACTAATGAATGACTCGAACATAGACAATGAAAAATAAGACTAAAAACTAAACAAGACTAAAACTAAACATGACCCTGACAACAGCAAAGGAAATCTAAGTGAAAAAAAAAAGAGATGGAAATGATATGGAAATGGAAATGAGCTTGCACAATTAAATATCTAATATCAATTGGTACAGAAAAATGTCTAATCTCGTCCAGTATGGTACAATTTATCATGCATCCTTACACAAGGCCCAAGCTCAGGTTATGATCGATTTTTTTTTATAAATGTTTAATGTTTTCTTTCTTTCTTTATTTTTTGGGGGCTGCTCCTTTTTACATAGTAAAAATGAAGGCAAAATATCAGCATTTTAAGGATACTTTTTAAAAGGCTTGGTTATCTTGTTGCAGTGCAGGTTGGAGGCTTTCACCGGTTTTGTAAATATCTATTTTTATTTTTAAGAGATGCATTCTACAGTACCCCTAAGATGTTATTAAAACAGAAAGAGTCGTAGCAGTAAATATTTCATTAGGCCTTTAAAAGCTGTCTGTTTTAATGCACACAATGCAAAAAGCCAAGCAGAAGAGCAGGCCAGATATCCTCACTGCTGAGCAGAGCAGAATCATGCTTCTGTGTTTCGATCCACTGACCA